TTTACTAAGATTAATGGAAAATCACCTTGGTTACAACTTGCATTTTTTTTCTTACTGTAAGATAAATAAAAGATCGCCTGACCAGTCGGCCAGCAAGTTGCCTAGTTGCCTTGTTTATTTTACCTAATTGGACAAAAGATTATTTAGTAAGCATTTGATGTTGGCCAACATGACCCATGATTTGTGATTAATCATTTAATTAAGGTTTGCTTAATTTATATGAGGCTCAGCTACAAGATTTAATTAATAACACCAGCATTAATATACATTGAGATGATTATCACAACTGTAACTCATTTCAAGTTATCAAAGCTTTAATAATGGTCTACTGATCAAGGTCAAATGGCTTGCTCCGTAAATCATGCTTCAACTGTTCAACCCACTTGGATGCTGAACCATTCAAAGTTTCAAACTGTTAGGCTAAAGAACTGTCTAAAAAGGGGGGCGCTTTTTTTTCTTTTTCCAATTGGCTAGAATCAGTTGAGCCCGAATTTGTTCAATGAAGTGAAGGTGACAATCCATTATCTTAGCTTGTGCTCTTTTGTGGGCTGAGTTGATGTCAAGGTGACCCACAATTAAGTAGGAGCTATGATCAAATTTGTACTCTTATATTTGTCGTTTTGTCTCACTCTCTTTAACAAAACATTCTGCCACATATTTGTGATTTTTTTTTTCATTGGGCATGAAGCTAGAATATTATCATATAGACACAGCAAATGTACCAGAGACCTTTGATGCAGAGAAGATATCACTGATGTGAGACACCCCATTTCAGCTTCTAGCAGGATAACATAAAAGATAAATAATATGGCAAGCCACACATCCTAGCAGATAGGGATAGAAGATAATGAGTGAAGCATCATGGAATCATCTCCACTTCGAACATTTTACAAACACATTGTATGTGTCCTTCACCATTTGCAGAGCTAACACAGCACTGTTCAGTCTACTCTGACTATTAGTTATTGGAGGGCTACTGAATCAGATAAACCCCATGATCTCTTCATTTATCCATCTCTACAATATTCTCCCATTTTTTAATATAGGGGTTCATCTAAGGGCCCACATCAAACACCTAAAGTGGGGGATGACATCTTATCCTAATCCATAAATACAAGTCATCACCGGTCAAATTCTCAAATATCTTTAAGACCAACCCAAAGAAACAATTCCTTTTTTTATGGGTGGCTTATCTCATCTCATCTTTATGAATTCTCTCTCTTTGTTCAGCTTACTTTCTCTGTTTTAGTATAGATGTAGAGGCTTGAAGATTCTAATTCTTGGTGCCCAACAGAGAGGAAAACAGGTTTGTCTTCGTGTTGGAGCCCGTAGCTTGCTCACCTCAGCCAGATGACATGGGGTTGTTGTTATACGGCCAAGGGCCTTCTGGCTGAATCTTACCACATAAAAACTGGTCAAATTTGTGAACAGATGGAGCCATTTTGGCCCTAACGGTGTCAATGGATCGGTTTTGGATTGAACCCCGCCCAGTTCAAACTCAATTTAGATGGACCAATAAGACATATTGGATTGGACCAATCRGTCCAAARTATTTATTAGATTGGATTGGACCTGGTCCATTCGTAATAAATTTACATTAAATTAGATTAGATTAGGCCAATATCTAGTCATTAATATAAGATAAGAATGTAAGTGTCAATAGACCAGGTTTGAGTTAAAATCAGTCTAAATCAAAACGAATTTGAACATATTGAACCAATCCAAAATATTCATTGGATTGAATTAGACCTACTCCATTTATAATGGACTCACATTGAACTGGATCGGATTGGACCAAATCTAGTCCAATTGACACCCCTACTTGGCCCACCAATTGAACTGCCACATGGAAGATTCCTAGTCGATCATGTCTTGTTCTTTGGAGCCACATGGCTAGACATGTTGTCAACAACACAATCCCTATCCGATCTGCTGGCTTGTCTGCCCGACTGTGATTAAAAAACTGAACCGGCTGTGGATGAGATTTAGTAAGTTGGGGCATTACTTCACTTTTATCATTGGTACCACCTCTTTCTTTTCAGTTTTCACATTTAAATCTCAAATCCTAAATCTTAAAACTAACATAATAATGTAGTTGATGTATGGCATTTTTTTGGTAATAGCATATGGGTATTTTTTTTTTTTTGTAATAGCATAGGTCTCTTTTTAGGGTCCGTTTGATTTATAGTTGGAATCAGAATCGGATTTAGAATCAGAATCCCTCGGAATCAAAATCGGAATAATCTATTTCTTCACCTGTGTTGTTTCAGACTGAAATCAGAATCAGAATCAGAATTGATAGGAATAGATTTTCATTCCCAAGAGAGGGGGAGGGAATGACCATTCTCTCAAATGAAGGAATGTCATTCCACTAAGAATGAGAATGAGATTCTGATTTCGTCTAACCAAACAGTTAGAATTAAAATAAATCCTTCTGACTCCAATTCCGAACCCCTATTCCCATAAACCAAACGTACCCCTATTCCTACAAATAAGACTCCAACCAAACTAAAAATCAAAATGCTCAATGCGTCTCAGTTTTACTGACAATAAACCTGTTTAACTCAGTTTTCCCAATTTTATGGTCCGACCATCCGGTCCAATTCAAGTCTAACTGCAAGATTCTTCTTGCTCTTCTTCTTTTTCCATTTTTTCTTTTTAAATATTTTTCAACCCTAATTTTTTTTTCAACTCTTACGATGATTACCAGCACGTGGAACACGTAGATGCTTACTGGGAGAATGAAGACCAGTGAGATAAGATTCCAGGCCGCCCCTTGTGTGGTACTAGCGCGAAGGTTCCTAGTATTGCTATTTGCTAGCTGTTGCCACGACTCGGTCCCCGGCGGCCATGACCCTCTGTCCTCTGTTCGCCACAAAAATAGTCAAAACCAACGGTGTCGACATTTTCTTAGCACCAAAGAAAGCTCAGACGGGCTCCCATTCGGGTCGGTTCAGACTATTATATCTCAAAATGATAAATTCAACCTAGTAAGCCTACAACATTCTCAGGTACATGGCGATAGATGGGGATGGGGATGTCAACAATCGGGTTTGGAGCATGTTTGACTAAATCCTAACCCGACCCGAATAAATCAATAGGCCCCTCAAATCTATAACCCATTACCCATCCCATCCAAAATTGCCGTACATAAATAATCTAAGTATATGTATTTGGTAGTATTTGCCATTTCTCCAAACTCCAAAGCATTTCCATTTCTTCCGTACCATCTCCATATATATAGGTGTTTGATACGTTTTTGCTTTTTAAGATTCAGTATGAATATATACAATATAAATACATACAAAATAGTATAAAAAATAAGTATTTATTGAAAGAAACAAGAATGATACCAAACAACGCCCAAATAAGCCAACGCACCCAATATGATAACTCAGCATCCCTCTAAATATGGAGTTACAAGCTCTCTATAGAAAGGTTGGTAGACAATGCACATACCCTACTTTGTCCCCAACCCTTAATCCCCTTCCATTAAAAGTGGTAACCAATTTAGGCAATATCAACTAATCCGATATTCTGATCTATCATGGATTCATGGGTAATATAAACCCGAATTGGATATGAACCCGACCCGGGACAAMCCCGACGGTCGGATCGGATCGGACGTAGACATGCTCCCACCCTGACGTAAATTAGCAATGGTCAAAGGGAGTACATCAGTATGGTATGTCAGTATGGTATTGCTGTGTGCAGCTAACGTAGAGACCACTTCCCAAAGTTGATAAATAAAATAAAAAATCAATAAACAAGTATTAAAAAAAGGGCATGCATGCGTACACACTCATTGTGTCTAGTGAGCTTAGTCATGACGTGACTCTCATTACCCAAATCCCACCGCTTTTTATCCTCTTTCACTCAATCACCACCCTTTTAACCCCTTAATTAATTAATTAATTAACATTATTAAATGCGCCCCCACTCCTCACCGTGGATAAACATCAACCAACTTGTTCATGACTTCATGTAATCGGTTCATGTCATTACGTGGGCAGGGAGTATTTGGGCTGGGCTTTCTTTGGCCCAGAAAATTTCCACACATGGGCCCCATTTAAGCAACCTAGCACCTCAGTAAATGTTCTAGTGGGTCCTACATCTTGGAAATAGTTTCTAATTGCTCAGGAGTCAGGAGATTCGTTCCTGTGTGAAACAATACACCATGGTTCAATGTATAAGCGCATCTGATTGCCCCACCAGGCCACCAGGTCGTGTGGCCTCGGGAATATCTCATTTCCCAGAAGTTCAAATCTGCTCCCAACATGTTCCAATAGGGAGAATGACGAATCAGTTCAGGTCAGAATTTTATAACCCCAAAGTACAGGGGAATGCATCTTGACCCTGAATTGATGCTAAATTCACGGGCAGATGTGATTTATAGGGGGGAGAGGGCTGGAATTCAGAATTCTGCATCGTTTGTATCCGTATTTCTCCGTAAGCTATTACACTCACACATCGGGAATATTTCCCTGAATGACAGGAAGTATTCCCAATGTACGACTGAAGTGACATGTTTGGACAGTATTGGGAGCAGATCCCTACGCGTGGCCGTGTGGGGGTACGAATGCTCTATGGAAATTCGGTTAGGAATGTCCTGACTTCCTGTGCGGTTAGGATAAAGCACCGGGGCCGTGGGCGAGGGGGCACACGTTATCGGATGATGTGTATAAGCGTCCTCCGTTGAATCGCCAACTCACGAGGACCGAGGACGATCGATCGGAACGATTCCGGGGAGCGTTGGCCCCGCGAGCCGACTCGCGAATGCGTACAAAACCGGTGACGCAAGGAATGACAAAATCACCAATTGCGGCGTATCAACACGTGGCGATGCCGCTTTCGACACTCGACGCGTGTCCGGAGGCGGTCAGCCCCTCTTCGTCCTCAAGGCGGGATGGTCATGCCCACGTGTAGTTCTAGACATCACCGGCGATTTAGACACGTGGCGTTTTCCCTCTATAAATACCCCGCTCTCTCCCGAGTTTTAAGTTTCAACAGCCGTCTTTGGAGAAGAGAAGAAGAGAAAAGGGTGAGAGAGGAGAGGCTCGGAGAATATAAATGACGTCACATTTGCAGTTACCGCCGGGATTCAGATTCCATCCGACGGATGATGAGCTAGTGGTGCACTATCTTTGTCGGAAATGTGCGTCTCAGTCCATCGCCGTTCCGATCATCGCAGAGATTGATCTCTACAAATATGATCCGTGGCAGCTTCCTGGTATTTTTCATTCGTCCTTGATCAATTTTTTGTTGTTTTGATTAGTGATTTAAGTGGATTGACTGAGATTGAGGTTTGCGTTTGTGCAGGGATGGCGTTGTATGGTGAGAAAGAGTGGTATTTCTTCTCTCCCCGAGACCGGAAGTATCCCAACGGATCGAGACCGAACCGGGCAGCCGGCTCCGGTTACTGGAAGGCTACCGGAGCGGATAAGCCGATTGGACATCCAAAAACTATCGGAATAAAGAAAGCGCTGGTGTTTTACGCCGGAAGGGCTCCCAGGGGCGAGAAAACCAACTGGATCATGCATGAGTATCGCCTCGCCGACGTCGATAGGTCGGCTCGCAAGAAGAACAGCCTAAGAGTACTTGCCTATCCTTCCTCGTAATAAATTCATGTTCTAAAGGGTAAAATAGACAATTAAAACGTGATAAACTCAAACGGAAAACGAAGAGGAGACCATGGGCGCCAAGTGAATCTCACTGGTCGCATGGGGGGCAAAATAGTCTTTCTGGAGTTGCCCTGTATTATTGTATCGGGAGGTCTATCCTTCTCAATGGACCCTACCACATCATCATCATAATACGAATTATGGGTGGGTCCTTTGAAAATGAGAAAAGCTCTTAAAACTCATCCGTCGACGTATATTATTATTGTGGAACAATGATGTAGGGTATCCATCATACATCACCTCTATTATTTTTCATGTTCCTCAAAACGGAAAGAATTAGATTCCTGAAAAAACCAAAGATAATTTCGGGTGTGGTTTTGATTCTCTCTAATCGGGTATTTTAGATTCTTATCTGACGTTGATTGATCTGCAGCTGGACGACTGGGTGCTGTGTCGAATCTACAACAAGAAAGGTGGCAGAGAGAAGAATTTCACTACATTCGATCGGAAATCGGCGCTTGCTCCTTCGTCAACTTGCTCGGATATCGAAGATCAGAAGCCAGAAACCATATCATACCGCCGGGACATACTGGAGCAACGTCCGGCGACGGTAACGGCACCGCCGATGAATGACATGATGTACTTCGACACGTCGGATTCGATACCGAAGTTGCACCCGGATTCGAGCTGCTCGGAGCACGTGGTGTCACCGGAATTCACTTGCGAGAGGGAGGTCCAGAGCCAGCCGAAGTGGAAGGATTACGAGAAACCCCTAGGATTTCAGTTTAATTACATGGACGCCATTGGCGGTGCCGCTGACAACCCGTTTGCCCTACTCAATCACCAGAGCAATGAGCTCAACCCATTACAGGATATGTTCATGTACCTGCAGAAGCCATTCTGATGCGGGTGATCGGAATCTCAGATTAGATGTGTGGGGCCGCTACATTCTTCCTCCGTGGTGCATGCAACACCGGATACTTGCACTGCACACGAGGCCGAAGTCCATGACTGTGCACGTGCGAGGACAGCACATGAGTCGTAGGAGCTACTTACATTAAATGGGTTTTGCTAACATGCATTTGGGCATCACATGAATCAGGTAGGGACTCCAGTTGGTCACAGTGATTCAGTGGTCCGCGTTGCATGTTAGATTTTCCCCATTATAATACATACAAGTGTACAAGATGTACATAACATAGATAGCCTGCTCCCGGGGTCCTTTACWGGGCCCCCCTCCCTCCCATCTCTCCCTATTCTTATATCTGGAGAAGATTTTTTATGGTGTAGCGAGTCGCATGATTAATTATCATCCTTTAAGTTCTTATCATTTTTTGTGAGTTATGGATGGATTGGATATTTGGATTTGTGGAAAGAGACCTGCAAAGAAAATTTGACCATTGACTTATCTCAAGAAAAGAATGTTGGACCGATCAATATAGATCGGAGATAAGAACCAAAGTAAACAATTCAATCGTACAATTGGACCTCTTGGGCAAATCGGACGGTCTAGACTCTTGAGAAGGATGGGTCGCTTCATGGTGGGCCCTCGTTGAATCATGACTTTTAAAAAAGCATCTTTTGGTACATTGAATCAACGGGTCGGGTTTGGAACGGGTTTGCCTCAACCTTAATCCGACCCTCCAGCACTCCAATCCAAACCCGACCCGACTCGGCTTAAAAATATATGATTCCTGAACCCAACCTGATCCTATACGGTGTAACCCATGTAATTTCAAATATATTTTTTAACACATTTTGAAGATTTAAAATACAATTATTTAAATAAAAAATTGTTTTATAGATGTTAAGGTGTTATTTTTTCTATTTAAAAAAAGAAAACAAAATCAAAATCAATATATAAATAAATTATAAACTTTTAAAAATCAGAAAATTGCAAAACTATTTAGTGTATATACAAGGTATCATAACCCGTAGGGTGGATCAATCAAAACCCAAATCCGATTCAAGTCAAAAAATCAAACCCTAATCCGACCTAAATCAAATATACTTTACCCTAACCTAATCCTATAAAATCGAATCCAACTGGATTTAACCCGAGCCATTGACATCCTTAAATATACAAACCGAAGTAACGCGTTTTCTCCAATTGAAAGTAACAAAACCACTTTTTTGAGTTGCTTTTCTTCTTTCTTCCTGTCATTTGACATAAGTGGCTGGTGCGCAACGTCCATGTGTTAGCATGTCTTTGTCTTGAATGGCAGTGGATGTTAGATGGGAAAAGTCACTTAAAGTGGACTGGACCGGCCCATTGGATAAATTGGCTCAAGAATATKTGAACCGCATCAGGCATGGAAAAACCTAGACTGACCCGGAGAATTCACCGGTCAATGCCACCAAACGATTATTAACATTTAACAACAATGTTTCATACTCGGACCAGATTGGGCGATTGAACCGGTGAACCAGTAACACACTGAGCTTTCGAGTTCTGGTTAGGTTTCACCGGTGAGTTATTAATTTTGAGTGTACTGTTGACCAGTATCTGATTATGGCCCTGTTTGATGATTAAGTGGTTGTTAAAAGAAGTAATTATTGCATAAGTACTTTTTAAAAGTACTTATTTTAACAACCACTTAAGACTGTTTGGTGACTCACTTGCCAAATCACTTATTATGTTTTTAAGCACTTATTGGGATGGAGATATTTGGTAAGCTATTTTCCCCATAAGTGTTTATATTAACACAAATGAGAATTTTAGCCCTCATTTCACTCATACATATATATACAATGTTTTTCACATGTTATAATATACATTTCAATGAAAAAACGCCACATCATGACAATTGAGAGCTCATGTAGACCCACACATGAATCATCATGTGAACTCAAATAATAATAAAAAAATAATAATAATAATAATAATAATAGCAAATTTAGATTAAAATATGATAATTTTAACTATATGTATAAATCAATAATAGGAAATTAAGATTATTCAAGAAAATAAAAAACACCACCAATATCAAATTAAAAAATAAATAAAATAGGATGACTAAATTCAGATTTTTCAAAAAAAAATAAAATAGGAGAATATTAACTATACATATAAATCAACAAAAAAATTAAAATATGATAATTTTAACTATACATATAAATCAATAATAGGAAATTCATATTATTCAAGAAAATAAAAAAACACCAACTATCAAATTTAAAAAAAATAAATAGGACGACTAAATTCGGATTATTCAAAAAAAATAAAATAGGCCAGATAATATTAAAAACAACACCAACAAGAATTCATGAAAAAATCACAAATATTCATAAATATTCACATGAAGAATATATTCACACAAATATACATATCGAATAAAGAAAAAAATTCAATCATAAAATCGAAAATAATATATTCACACAAATATTCATTCAACTTCAACAAATTTTCATACAAATATTCATCCAACTCATGCAAATTGTTTGCATGATTTCTAACAAAAAAAAACACCCAAAAGAATTTTGGATTTGTCAACAAAAAAAATCAAACCAGAGAAATAACCATCCAAAAAACCAAAAAAAAAAAAAACAAACAAACATGGAGGGGAGGAGTTTGGGCGACCTCACCTTTTGGTCACCGGCGGCTAGACGGTGGGATATCGTTGTTGAAGTCGTCCAAACACAGATTTGTGACCAGAGGGAAAAAGAGAGTTTCAGACTTTAGAAAAACGCAAAAAAAAAAAAAAATCACAAATCGATGGAATACTATAGAAACATAAAGGTAAGAGTAAAACAGAAGGTCCGCCGGCTGTTTTTGGCTCACCGTCGAACGTCGCCGGTGGACCTGCAACCAAATGCCGCGGCTACCTGTTGTTGTAGGTTTTCGAATGGAAGAAGAAGATGATAAACTCGAGCAGGGGTAGTTTTGTCATTAAAAAAAACAGGGACAGATTTGTCCCATTCAAATGAAGAAGCACTTGTTCAAAAAGTGCTGAAAAAAAGCCACATCCTTGTCACTTTTTTAAGAAGTATTTTTTTTAACAATAAGTACTTACCCTCTTTGTATAAAACACACATAAGTACTTAAAAACCATGGTCYCATGTCTTAAAAGAAGTACTTGTTGAAATAAGTACTTCTTAAAAGTGAAATCAAACAGGGGCTATTTATCATTTTCTCCATTTTGCATTTGAACAAGTTGGGTTTGTATTTAGACCCAGACAACATCAAACCAATTTCTCCCACTCCTAATTGATAGGATATTGGGCCTATTGGCTCATACCGATTTTTAGACATAAACTTTAGGGTTTAAGGGTTTTGAGGTTTAGAGTTTAAGTTTTAGGGTTTAATTTTAAGATTTAGGGTTTAAGGTTTATAATTTTGAAGTTAAATATAAAAATCAAGAGGTGATTGGACCTTTCGTCTGGACCRTCCGATCATGGTAGAAGTGAACTAAAGCCTCCTAATTGTCTGCAAAGTGCAAAATTTCATTGCGGTTAAGCCTTGCACGGGGTCTGCATTTTGTCTGAAGGATTTAGGCATTATTGTGATTAGAGTCGCAATTAGAGCCGAGTTAGCCCAAACCCAACCAAAAGTCAAGTGAGGTTGAACTTTAGGTTAGGATTAGGGTTGAAAAGTATAAACCCGACTAAACTTTTAATTGGGGAACAGTTGAGATCTTTATCAAGGTTCTAAATATTGACACCCCGTGTTGATGCTATTTTTTTATGTTTTACTTATTTTTTTTAATAGGTTTAGAGGGGCCGGTTTAAGGCCTGGCTACCCTCTGAACCAATGGCTGACCCGATACAATCTCTGTAGGGGCGTATCGGGAAGCCACTGGTATGATACGTATCGGCCGATACGTGTTGGTACTTTGAACCTTAGCCTTCACCAATCTAAACCAAATTTCATATTTATATCTATGTATAAATGTTATATAAACATGTTACTATGCAATTATGCATCAATGTATGTATCTATGTATTTTCTTTATACTAGTATTTATGTATTTATGTATATTCTATATCAAAAAATTTAAGTTTAGAGGCAACTTATTTTTCTAAAATATGATAATTATGTTCTTTTACAATAACAATGCTGGAACTGAATTAACCCCAAACCTTGAATAATTTCTCAGAAATAAAACACGCACACGATATATTGGAATGGACCCCGTCCAATACAAAATCAATTTGGATGGATTGGATGGCCAACAAGATATATTGGATTGGAACAATTCGGTCTAAAATATTTATTAGATTGGATTGGACTGGTCCGTCGATAACAAATTTATATTGGATTGGGTTGGATTAAGCCAATATCTAGTCCATTGATATAAGATAAGAATATATGTGTTAAGGGACCAGGTTTAGGTTGAAACCAATCTAAATCAAAATGAATTTGAATAGATCCGACGGTCCAGACATTAAATTGGACCGGTCCAAATTGGTCCAAARCATTCATTGGATTGGATTGGACCTGGTCCATTTATAATGGACTCACATTCGACTAGATCGGATTGGACCAAATCCAGTCTAATTGACATCCCTATATATAGCAAAATAAAGCAGAGAAGTCCTTAACCTAACCAAACAGGCTAAGAGTTGGAGGCTTGATAGCTTAGGTTGGTTAGGGCTAAAGTTGCATTTGGTATTTTTTATTTTAAGGACTTATCTCCTTTTTGCATTTAAAAACTCAGTGTTAATGGAGGCATCTTAACTGTAAAAAGTAAGGTCGCAACTTGGGTCGGGTTGATGCTCAGGTTAGGGTTAGGGTTGAAATTTATGAATCCGACTTACTTCGGGTTGGATTAGGGTTGACCCCTTGGACAACCCGAATCCGACTCTATACTACATATCATATATAAATATATGCTATATATATGATCATACATTGATTTGTTTAGATGCATGATAGTTGTATAGCCACTATCACATACTATTGTTTATTTCATTTAAGATAATCACTTCACTTAATCCTAATTGGAACTACTAAAACCTTGATAACATATTTTATGTTTTTTGATTATTTTATTCCTTATCTCCTCTATGTTGTTTGCCACCCATAGCTTGCTGCCCATAAAAGATCTATTATAAGTCATCATAATAAACTATAGTCATTTCAAACACTTTTTTTCTGAATTTTGTATTTAAAGAACCAATAAAAACATCAACAAACAAATACTAATAAAACATAAGATTAATAGATGTTGTGAAAGTTAAGTTAAGATTTAAGATTAAGAAGTTCTACAAGATTTTAAGGGATGGGAAGAAGGTTGGGTTGGGCCCAACCCAAGCCCAGTCCAACCCGAAATTGACTTTGGGTTGGGTTGGGTTGGATTAGGGTTGAAGGAATTTACTTAGGATTAGGGT